ACACACACACATATATATATGTGTATATATATATATTTATATAAAAAGACCAATAATAGCAGTATGTTATGCATCAATAGCAGCAACAGCTTTTCCAGCTTCTGCAATCATCTGAACAAAATTTTAGACATTCTGCACATTCCATTAAAAAAACAAAAACAAAAAAACAAACAAAAGAATAATATCCAGAAAACAGCCCAGTTCTGTTGCTGTTGTGGTACCTGGCACCATTTTTTTTTTTTATTAGCATCTTACTCATTATCTGGAAAGAGAACATTCTAGAGTAATATCATTAAATATAGCTCTGATAAAGCACGATCACTATTACGTATCATAAAGCAGGTACAAGATATTTTTACATTCACAGAGGTATGATACAGTACCGTCTTACATCAATAATACTAGAATCAGTTTTGGTTTGAAATTTGCTTTGTCTGCAAATAAGATTGCTACCCCTGCTTTTTTCTGGGCTCCTGTGACATGGACAATTGTTTTCCATCCTTTCACTTTCAGTCTATGGGCTTCTTTTTGCACTAGGTGTGTTTCTCGTATACAACATATTGTTGGATTTTGCTTCTTATTCCATTGTGCCAGTCTATTTCTCTTGTTTGGTAAGTTGAGGCCATTGACATTGATGGTTATAACTGAAATGTACTGACTTATTATTGACATGTTATGGCCTTTTGTTGACTCTTTTTACTTTTTCACCTTCTCCTTTTAGTTTCTTGCCCTGCCTATTTGATTTGCTCTGTTGGGCCTCATGGTGTTATTGCCTTCATTTTCTTTTTCTAGGATCTTGTTTAGAATTGCTTGTAGTGCTAGTTTGGTATTCATGTAGTTTCTCAGGTGTTCTTTGTCGTGGAAGTGTCTTATATCCCCATCCATTTTGAAAGAAAGTTTTGCAGGATACATTAGTCTAGGTTGGAGGTTGTTCTCTTTTAGTACTTGAAATATTTCATTCCAGGCTCTCCTTGCCCTAAGGGTTTGTGTTGAAAAGTCTGACTTCTGCAATCATCTGAACAAAATTTTAGACATTCTGCACATTCCATTAAAAAAACAAAAACAAAAAAACAAACAAAAGAATAATATCCAGAAAACAGCCCAGTTCTGTTGCTGTTGTGGTACCTGGCACCATTTTTTTTTTTTATTAGCATCTTACTCATTACCTGGAAAGAGAACATTCTAGAGTAATATCATTAAATATAGCTCTGATAAAGCACGATCACTATTACGTATCATAAAGCAGGTACAAGATATTTTTACATTCACAGAGGTATGATACAGTACCGTCTTACATCAATAATACTAGAATCAGTTTTGGTTTGAAATTTGCTTTGTCTGCAAATAAGATTGCTACCCCTGCTTTTTTCTGGGCTCCTGTGACATGGACAATTGTTTTCCATCCTTTCACTTTCAGTCTATGGGCTTCTTTTTGCACTAGGTGTGTTTCTCGTATACAACATATTGTTGGATTTTGCTTCTTATTCCATTGTGCCAGTCTATTTCTCTTGTTTGGTAAGTTGAGGCCATTGACATTGATGGTTATAACTGAAATGTACTGACTTATTATTGACATGTTATGGCCTTTTGTTGACTATGTTGGGCGTTTATTTTTTCCATTTCTTTCTTATGCTGGGCCTTCATGGCTTCTATCGTGGTCCTGAGCTCATCTATTTTTTGTCAGTTTCTGTTCTAGAGTCTCGAATCATGACTTCCATTTTGCTCACTATCTCTATAGTTATCTGGGAAATTATTTCTGTTTTGAATTTTTCTTGAGCCTGATTGATCTGTTTTGTTACTTCCTGCATTTTGAGTTCAGGGTGTCCTGGTGGTTCACTATCGGCCTTTTCATCCTCATTTGCCCTTCTGTTTGCCATTGGTGAACTGGAAGTCTGTCTTTGTGTCTTGCTTAAGTGTTTTCTCATTTTAATTTTTGTTGTCGGACTGTCCTTGGTTTAATCTCTGGGTTATCACCCAAATCTTCCTGATATAGTTACACCCTAGCTTCTGGGTCTCTTAACGACCCACAGACATTCTCATCTTCATAGCATCAGAGAAAACAGCTCATCAAATCAACCACAATCCTTTAGCCCAACTGATACCATCAGCAACACATTAAGATCAAGCACAACTTGGACACTAACCACCTGTGGTAGTCACTAGTCTATCACCCTTAAACCATTTGAATTATATTGAAATCAAGAAGCAGTCCAGAACATGTCTGCAGTGAACAAACTTTTCAATATAGTATATTTACCATTTAATGGCTCAGACAGGGCTAGGACGTAAGACCCCTGGTCTCAGTTAGCTGATGGCTAAACCCTGTGACACAGACTGACCTCGGGCTGCAAGGCCCAGATTGAGTTCCCCAATCTTCTGAACGGTTGAACTCCACACTGTTCTATTACAGGTTTCTCATGCCCTTTCTTTAAAGATGTTCAAAGTTGGGAACTCAGAAAAATACCCTTTATGACCACCTCTGCCTCTGCAGAGTGGGTCCAAAGACTGGCACAATCAGGAGGTCTGAGAGTGCGTGGGCGGGGGGCAGTTATGGGGGTTCAGGGGCGCCCATGCTGCTACCTTCCTGGTGCTGGAGCCATGGCGGCTCCATGCAGGAGAGGGCGTGGCTCTCCTTCCCAAGGTGGATCAGGGGCCCAGGCTATCTTCCAGGGGCTGGAGGATGGCGGCTCCAGGCGGGAGAGCAGAACACTAAGTATTTCTCTTCATTTTTATCTTGTGAGAACAAAGCAATTGATGAATGATACTGCTTTGAGTAATACTTTTCTTAGCAAGCATATCCTGTTCTTATTGATCTTAATTGAATTATTAAGTGTGAAAACACATTGTTTTTTGATTATTTGATTAATGGATCGATTGGGGATTGAGCCAGGGGCCTTGAACATGTTAGGCAGTCACTGTACCCCTGATCTATTAAACTCCAGCCCCTTTCTTTCTTTTTATTTTATTTTATTTTATTTTGTTTTGGTATTTTGAGACAGGGTCTCACTATGTAGTTGAGACTGACCTGAAATTCACTATGTAGCCCAGGCTGGTCTCAAACTCACAGCGGTCCTCGTGCCTCAGCCTCCCGAGTGCTGGGATTACAGGTGTGTGCCACCATGCCCAGCAACCCTTTCTTTATTTTTTAATTTAAGATTGTCTTGCTAAATTGCCTCAGCTCGCCTTAAACTTTCTAATCTCCTGCCTCAGCCCTGAGTAGCTGACTTTATAGGTGTGTGCCGTGGTTCCTGGCCCTCTCAAGCTTTTTAAAATGTCACGCTCTGTTGAAGTTAAGTGCAGTTGCTTCTGAAGTGTGTTATCTCCTGGGCGCAGGCAGGGAATACCACAGACAGAGTGAGACCGAGCTGGAGAGTAAATAGATGGTGACGGGAGCCGGCCTTCCTCCGTTGCCCAGTCTGTTGTTCACGTCATATCATCGTTACAGTTTGAAAGTCTGTTTAGGGAAGATGTGTTAATGAATTCAGACCGCTTCCTGAGTGCGTGCTTTGTCCCAGGTTCTGAAGTAGGATGCTAGGGATACCAAGGCAAGTAAGACTTTCTGTCCTCTGAGAGCTCTGTGGCGGGGAAGACTGACATAAAGCAGGCAGTTTTTAATATGCTATAGGAGGTGTAGGGTGTTAGTTGCGCCAGCCTGCCCAGGGCAAGAAGGCTCTGCAGAGGCAGTGACACTCAGGCCAGGTCTGAGCAGTGTGAGGGAGCTGGCAAGCAAAGACTGGATCCACCGAGGGCTGTGCTCAGCTGACAGATGGGCTGAGTTTGTTTAACCACGAGAAGCAGCCCTGTAGTTTCCCTGTGGCTGAGCCTAGGTGAAAATTCCCACCAGCAACCCGCATGAGCCGGCCACGCTTCGAATCCTCATCTTCACCAGGCTTGGTGGGGCGGTGGGGTCTTTTCAGCCTCAGCTGTTTACTGGGTGCTCACTGTGGTTTCAGTTTGATTTCGCTTCTGACTGGTGATGTGGAGTATCCTTCCACTTGTTCACCAGCTATCTGTCTAGCTACTTTTGTGTCTGTTTCTTGCTAGTTTTAAAATTGGGTTGTCTTACTGAGTTGTGTTTAGCATAAATACCAAAATAAGAACAGTGCAAGACTATTTAAAAAGCTAGTGATTGTATCCCTTTGCCATTTTCTGCATTGTCTCTTTAGTCTTCCTTTTTTCTTAAACAAGCTGATAAGAGATTTTCTGTTTCTGGAAGACAGTCTTGGAGTTAAAACATTTATTGCGTTAAAATATTACCATCTAGTGGCCAAAGAGTGGCATTACATACATTATACATTTTTGTTAAAATGCAATGCTTGTTTCATATCTATCTATCTATCTATCTATCTATCTATCTATCTATCTATCGTAAGTGCATGTAATGTAAATAATGTGTAAATATGCACAGGAGTATACATGAATAAAGCATAACAATCCTTTATCCCACTACCTGCTTCAAACCAGAACATTTCTAATAATGTTACAGCTGCCTCCATCCCCCGTATTCCTTGTTACCTAAAATTTTCTTTTTACCTCCATCATTTGTATTTATAATAAATGGGATTGCAGGTTATCACATCCTTGGAAATGGACAGACTTTTTTGGTGTGCTACCAAATAGCGTGAACCTATAGTTTACCTTCACATTATATTTTGGTACAAAATTAGGGGGTTTTTTTAATGGAAGAGGAAATAAGGAAAGCCATTTAACTTTTAAACCTTCCATCTAATTTATATTTCATCTAAGATTTGTTTGTCAGTTTGAGGAAGGCGAAAGTTGCCACTAATGGGTAAAGTTTAGCACATTGTCGAGAGCCAAATGTTTTTGTCTGGATGATTTCGTTTTTCTTATTTTGAGTATCATGTTCAATGAAGAAAGTTCATTAAAGCAATAACATTTCCATAAAGCAGAAGTAAATCATTAAGAACTTTTATGGAGCACATTAAGTATCCAGTACATGTGAGCTGCTGTTGTTGTTAGTAACATTACCACTGCCTGATAGGAGTGAGAACTAATACCAAATAAGAATGAGAATGCTTTATGAAGATTAAAAGGTACTTTGATTTGGAAATCATTCTGAGATGTGTAATTTTTAATTTCTGTATATTTCCCTTTATAAGTTAATTTTCTCACTGAGTTGTGAGTACTAATTGGGGGGGTGAGTGAGAGAGAGAGAAATGGAAAGAGAATAGGAATAATGTCTGACACAGTACGGATTCAATAAATTATAGCTATATTTGAATAATAAGGACAGTGCGGGAGTGGAGGTTATTTGTTCTGTAGTTTTAGAAATACAGTAGATGTCCTTTTTTCGCTCTTTTAGTTACAGTGGTATCTCTTAATTCTAGGATGCCTTGTTTTTCCTGAAGCATTTCTTCACAAGTCTTTCTACAGAAGTAGAGCTGCTCCTGACTCCTGATCCGGAAGGTATTTCACACATGCAGTTTGAAAATTCTGTAAAAGATCCGGACACCCTTCACTTACACTGGGCTTCTGTCCTGAGAGGCCCATTTTAACCTGAAATACCATGGTCAGAATGCATCCCCGCCCTCTCCAACGGCCACGTGGAGTGCTGGTCGTTGACCCCTGGTGAGCCCAGGGTTGGTGGAGCTTCGGCTGCTCCCTCTGCTCAGCCTGGAAGACAGACTGGCCGCACAGCACTAGCCTGGGGTTGATCAGAAGCCCACATTCACAGTGGGGCTTCTCCTGGCTGACTGTGCATGGTCCCTTGGCATGGTTGTGGGGTTGGTGTCACCCCATCTTTAAGTCAAGCCGTCACCAAGTCGGGACCGTCTGTATTTACACTAACTGTGATTGCCATGAGTTCTTTTTGAGAATACATTTATATCTTTATTCCCATATATACATATATGTATATATACATACATACACACACATACATATAGTGTGTGTATCTTGTGTTTGTTAATTAGTACAAATATAATTTTGTGTAAAAGTAGTAATTTAAAAGGTAGAAACAAATTTTCTCTGACAAGAATTATTTTTATTAATTGAGATGCTGCAGAACAAGTTAAATCTGTTGCTTTAAACTGCTGCTCTAAAGAAATATGCCTGGTTTTTCAAATGTGCACGTTCCATTTCAGTTAAAAAGTCCCCTGGAGCCGATGTCACCTGCACTTTGCCAAGGCATTTGAGTGCCTCAAAGGAGCCAAATCTAGTTCTTTCTTTCCCTGGGCCAAAACAACCTTCCTCAAGTGATGGTGCCAATTCAGTAGAGGCGGCTAATGGAGTAGAAGAAAAGGAGTTCTCAGCTGAAGAAGCATCCTTTAGTGACCAGCCTGTGTTTTTTAGGTAAATAATTCAATTTTTGTAGCAAAAGAAGTATTCGGAGTTCTGAGGGCCACTCCATAATGCATAAGTGTACTGGTCATTGTGAGGTTACATCATCTTTTTGCTTTGCCCATGCTGTGCCCAGTTCAGGATTCATCTGTCTACTGGACCTATGGCAGAAGTTCTCTTTTCTTCCTAGCATTTGTCTTTCTTTCCTTTCTCTGTTCCTCTTTTCCCAAGTCACCATGATGCTGTTTGTACCTCCCCAAATGTAATGTCATTCTTTGCCTTTTTGCATGCCTCAACTTTGGCATTCTGCCTTGTCCTTTATGGGAATTCCCTTCCAGTTTTCTGTGTCCGCCCTTCCCTGGCCCCGTCATGTCTTCTCTGACCCTTTCCTCCTTGGCCGTGTGAGCACTGTTGGGATCCTGGGTATTGTCGCTGCTGCTGGCTGCTGTGATTCCGTCCCGCTGGCTGTATGGGAGCTCTCCCCACTTTCCAGACCTGTTCATTCTGCCCATCTTCTTCCTTTCCCAACTATGGATGGTAGGGATGGGGTTTTGGCATTAGTGGAAAGAGAGGGGATAAAGAACAAAATTCCCTTTGTTGTAAAGGACAATTAGCTCTCTCCCCTGGTTTTCTCTGCCCCTTCCCTGTTGACATCCAGAGCCCTCAGTTCTCTGTCTTTCCCTCCAGGCTCTGAGGTTAGACCTTAGGGTGTGGTGGGAAGTGGTCGTGTAACTGAAAGTGTTGTCATGGTTTAAATATCTTCTATAGTGGTGACAATAGACACAGAAAGATAATAAACTATAAGAATGGGAAAGATCCGAGGGTAGATGATTTTTAGTGGTTCTAAACCTTTTCACCCTAAGAGAATAATGTCTTATTTTTCCACAGTGATCACTTTATTTTTTAATATTTTCTATGAAAAATGTGTTTTGTTTTTTTTTAACATATTCACAAAGTGGCCATAATTTCCAATGACTCCTGCCAGGCAGCTCTGACCCACCTGTGTACATGCAGGAGTATCCTGTTGGCAGCATGGGACAGACCCGCTGGATGGGACAAGTTGCTGGATGGGACAGCCACGCATGTGCCACTGGTGGCTTAAGCCGGGGAGGATGTGTTAACTTTTATTTGTATTAGTACCTGTCTGTAGTATATAGCAATCACATTTATCCCGGGGAATTGGTACCTGCTTGTTACATATCTCAGTTCTCTTTTACATTCCCAGTCATTTGCATGTTATTTTGTATTAATTGCATACAAACTTCCAGTTCAATTTATCTAAGCATAGGCCTAAAACAACAAAAAAAATTGACCAAATAGGATCTTGCCATGTTGCAGGCTGGTCCTGAACTCTCAAGCCTCCCAAATAGCTGGGATTACAGGCACATGCCACTGTGCCTGGCTTGACACTTCTTTCAAAAAACATATGTAAGAAAGGCTTGTGTGGTTGTCTACAAGCTACAGTTTGTAGGTATCATTCGTATTCTCTAAGCGGGTTGAGAACCCTGGTGGTAGTAATGAGGTAGTCTAGTTACTTTGTGGATGAAGAAGTTAATGCTCAGAGGCAAGTTGAGTTGCTCAAGACCCACTTAGTGGCCGAGCTGGGGGTAGAACCCAGCTCTTCTTAATCATGAATCCTTGCAAGTCAGTGCTTTGACCAGCAATGGTGCCATAGGCTCTCTCCTTCCTCATGCACTCTCATTCGTTCTGCAAGTGCTCATGGTACATTGACTGTATGTATACAGGTTTGGGTCTAGGCATGTGAAAAATATTTAATTGAGCTTGCACATTAAGTAGTTAGTGCTGTAATATGTGCCATTGAGAAAAGAAGAGTGGGAAGCGGTATTGAGGTGGATTGCCCAGAAGACCAAGTGGAGATGAGCATTCAGGAGTTGGGATGACAGACAGCTGCATCCTTGTAACCAATAGGGCCAGAGTCACTCCCGGGGCCCCAAACTCTGCTTCTGTGGAGCCGCAGTAAGCCAACCCCCTGACTACTTCTCTTTCTGACTTCTTGGTAATGATTATATTGACTGGTTTCATCTTGAAGACCACTTTTATTAATGTGTACTCCATACATTGAGGATACCTGCCAAAATAAATTTTTCTAAGAATAAACATTATTTAATAAATCAGAAATTTTTCTGAAAATTTTAAATAGAATATATCAGATGACCACCATTTCTTTAGTTGTTATCTTACCTGAAGAAAAGATAGAGCTAAAAGATACTCTTATTTGAGCCATAAGAGTCACATGATTTATTTTGTGGTTTTCTTTTTATTCTCCAGTTTAACAAATTAATTTATATCTAATTTCAATGACCAGTAATTTTGAATATAAACAACTCATCCTTTGTTTTTCTCCAGAGAATTCAGATTCACTTCAGAAGTTCCTATTCGACTTGATTATCATGGCAAACACGTATCAATGGATCAGGTTTGGAGATTTATTCTATACAGTTATCTCATTTTTTTCCCTAATGGACTCAAACTATTTTTAACTTTGCTTTATTGTGGGGTGTGTGTGTGTGTGTGTGTGTGTGTAATGGGGTCCACTAAAAAATGTATACACTTTTCAGGAAAAGAAAAACTGAAGTATGTGTACATGAAGTATGTATACATTTTTTTGTGTGTGCACTGTGTGTGTGTGTGTGTATATATATATATATGTATATGTATATATACATAAAGTCTAATAATAGTATGTTATGCATCGATAGCAGCAACAGCTTTTCCAGGTTCTGCAGTCATCTGAACAAAATTATAGACATTCAGCACATTCCATTAAAAAAAACCCAAAAAACCAACGAGAACTGAATCAAATTCAATGGTTAGGTTCAGTGTTGACCTTATGGAGAAATTTGATTCGGTTCTCATCCAATTCAGTTGGTGAACAGAATTGTAGAAAGAATTAAATTCATGAACTGAGGTAGCACTGTATAAAAATGAAGTGTAAGGTTTTTAAATTTAATTCTGTTTTTATACATTAAATATCATTTGCTTAATAACCATGAGTATATATTGGGTTGTAGATATTATAAAAAATATTTTTTCTGTAAACATCTGAAGTATTTTAAATTCATTAATGAATATTGCTTTGATTTTTTTTTCAAATAGCCACTGTGTTAAATGTTGAGCCTCTTCCTCTTTTTTTTTTTGGTACCGGGGATCGAACTTGGGTCCTTGCACTTGTGAGGCAGGTGGTGGAATCACTGAGCTAAATCCCTGGCCTGAGTCTCTTCTTAACTTACACATTAATCTGGACGTTTTTATTTTAAAGGGTACCTTAGCTGGGATTTTGATTGGCCTTGCCCAGTTAAACTGCTCTGAGCTAAAGCTGAAGCGGCTCTTCTATCGGCATGGGTGAGTTGATGATTGTATGAGGCTCTGAGGTGAGATTACTAATGCTGACTCTCAAGCTGAAAGTGGAGCCTTTCTGACTTGTGTCACTGAATTATTTTAGTGTTGTCCACAGACGGCTCCTTTTCAGCGGACATCTATTGATTAGGGGCTAATTTTTATTCAGAGGGAGAAGTAGTTTGAATAGAGCAGCATCTTTCAAAAATAGGAACAGTTTAGGATATTCTTAATTTCCTAAAATTGTAAATTATATTTTTCAGTGAGAAAACTGGAAGCTCTCAAGGTCATGGCTCTTAGTAGCAACTAGTGATGACTTGTAGACTTTGGGTTAGTACTGTGCCAGAGACTTAAATGCTCACGAAATGAGAATAGTGAGAATGACACATGTACACTAAGCCTTGAGGAAATTAACTTTACATATTCGTTTATATAGAGAGGAAGATTCAGATTGGGCTTCATTGGCGGCTTTATATTTCTTTTTGACTTAAAAAATGTTAGGCTGTTTTTGGAGCATCTATATTTTGTCCTTGAAATTTATTAATTTTTAAGTAAGAGAAAACTTACACGAGTGTATAAATGTATTGTTTCTGTTTACTGATAGCCGCTTGCTCTAGTTTGCTAGGTGTTGACAAGTTATTCTCATATGCGATCACTGAGTGGCTCACTGACATTAAGAAGAACCAGCTCCCAGGAATCCTGGGAGGGGTTGGACCTATGCATTCACTAGTACAATTAGGTGAGTTTTGTCCTTTTCACCCTTTTACACTTATGAAGCCCTTGAGAGTCTTTGTGAGCAACCTTTTCTAGAAAACCTACACGTCTGTTGACACACATACAACTTTGCCTGCATTTTGGGGTTAAGATCTCCAGAGTCTTGAACCCCAGGACTGAGGTTGCTCTCTGTGTGTTGACCATTGTAGTGCAAGGCTTGAAGGACTTGGTATGGCTGCCAATAGAGCAGTACCGGAAGGACGGCCGCATCGTCAGAGGGTTCCAGAGAGGCGCGGCTTCCTTTGGCACCTCCACAGCCATGGCTGCTCTAGAGCTCACCAACAGAGTGGTTCAGACCATACAGGTGCTTTCCCTATATGTGTGGGCTCCTTTGTTTTTAAAACAACACTGAAAATGTGCAAGTGTTGAGAGTAGATTTTCTTATTGCTTATGTGCCCCATACTAAGTAATGAGTGACATAAAGCAGTGAAATTATAGTATCGAATTTGTCTATTTCAGGTAAGTAATAACCATTAAATTAGCAGGGGGTTTATTTCACCAGACTGTATGAAAAGATCATAGCTAAATTCAACAAAGCTTTCCCAATGAAACTGGAAGTATGAAGGTTTGTTCCATTACATATTAAGCTGCATAGATTAACATGAAACGTTAAGCATTGTCATTGGAGAGAGGAAGGGACTGAATAAGTCAGCCCAACCCAGTAAGAGTTTTCATTTTAGCTTCCATGGTCTTGTTACAGAAGTCACAAAATGGGGAGGCAACCACACAGGGTGTATGAGCTTCCTCACTCCCTGTGGGAGGTACACTATTAACATGCTGGTGCATGGCTCTCCAGGCTGTCTTCTAATTCCTGTCTTCCTCTGACAACACCCACCAGGCGGCAGCAGAGACTGCTTATGACATGGTGTCTCCTGGTAACTTGGCTATCGAGCCCAAGAAGGCCAAAAGGCTTTCTCATCACCGCTTAGCTCACCAGCCAGTGGACCTGAGGGAAGGCATGGCCAAGGCCTACAGCGTAGTGAAGGAGGTACGTGAACACCGAGTGACAAGTCCCAACTCTTCTGTGCTTCCCTGCCCTGCTAGCAAGGACAGTGGGCAGGTTCAGTGTGTCTCAGAGAACCCCCTAGGAGTGGGCTGGAAGCTGCCGCTGGTAGCATGTGACATGTATGTGTGAATTGAGAGGAGAGGCCTGGCTGGGATGGATTGGCTCCCACACAGAGCAGTAAGCAGGGCAGACAGACCAGTCCTCTTCACCTTAGAAGTGTTCAGCAGTGGTGGAAGCATACGCCTCTCTGCACGTACGTGCCTCTAATGTGTTATTCCTTGCTCTGTTTACCTCAGATTCATTGAAGAAACTCTTTAGGGCAGTCGCCCACCCTGATCCCATTCACATGCATTTACTGTCCTCAAGGTGGTACATGTTGTTATAGTTACTTATGTTATCATGAACAAAACATACCAGAGTTCATATTTTAAGTTTACATAGATGGTATCTTTCCACAACTTATTTCTTTGAAGATATATCCATGTTGATACATTCAGTCTAAGTGGTCTCTGTAGTATTTCATTGTGGGAACACACCACAGTTTCCATACTTTGCTATTGAGTTTGCATTTTTTCCCCCTGAAATACTGCTGTGGAAGTGTTCATCTACCAGTACAGTTCTGTAGGGTAGAATTGGTGAGGTGGAACTGTGGGAATCTTGACATTCAGTCAGCATTGTTAACTTTCTCTTTGATAGTTGTGTGTCCTGGTTCTTTCTGAGTGTTGGCAGGGGCATCCCGTGGCTTCATCTCTTTTGACATTCTTCTAATATGACATAAGGAAGTTGGCAGGCATTGTGTTCATGACTCATGTTTTACGATTTCGTTAGAGGTATTTTCTCAGTCATATTGAGATGATAGTCAGAAGGGTGTAAGCCAGTCCTTTACCTGACCAAAGCAGCCCAGTGGCCCCTACTTCTGTGGGAAGACCACTGAGGTATAGGGCCAAGAAATGTATGAGTGGGTATTTAAAGGGAAGACCAAAGGCCTTTTTAAGAAAGAGATTTAGTGGGGAGACTGAACAGTTACTAGGCAGACCTGCTTCTCAGGCTTGGGCCAGTTATCAACAGACATGTTGGAAATCAGATTTGGAAAACGAACACTGGAGCTCGAGGCATAGCAGGGCGGCTGGCAGCACAATGGTGTAGCACTTTGACAAGAAGCATTTGCAAGGTGCTTGCCTGAGTAACTAACTATATTCATTTAACACGGATATTAATGTACTTGCTTTGTACCAAATGTACAGAGACCTTAAAGACTGGTGATGTGCCCAACTTGCAGATAAGAAAACAGCTCCCCAGGACAGTGATTTTCTAGTAGGCTGCAGCCAGGAGGAGGTAGGGCCAGGACTGGGGCCCAGACTGGGTCCAGAGTTTAGTTTTGGAGTAGACTAAATTTGAATTCTATGCCGAAGTTATTCCCAGCTGAGGATTTGGTTGTTAATATGTAACAGGCAAAGAGAAGAGTCATGGATGTTTCACAGCTCATCCTTTACATCAGGGGTTGGTGACTAGCCTGCGGGCCACATCTGACCCATGCCTGTTTTTGGATGCCTGTATTGGTCAGCTTTCCCATAGCTAGCACAAAATACCTGACACCTGCAGCTTGAAGAGAGGTTTATTTGCTTACAATTTCAGGGGATTCAGTCCATGGCTATTGGCCCAGGCAGGGGCATCATGTGGAAGGGTGTGGTGGAGCAAAGCTGCTCATTTTATGATGGGATGAGAAACTGCATATGTACCCAAGGTCACACCTCCGTGACCCACCCAGGAACACTCTTAGCTGCTTTACTAATCCTCTTACTAGTCACCTCTCAAGTCCGTCAAGCTGACAATCAAGATTACCTGTCACAATAAGCCTTTGGACTAGTGATGATTTTTACAGTTGCAACAGTTAGAAAAAGAATTGTGAAAAACTTTGTTACCTACAAACCTCTGGCTCTTTACAGAAAACTTGCTGACTGTTTGTGTAATTCTGTTCAGTGGTAGGCAGGCCCTTGTGAGCATGGTAGTAGCCACCTAGGGATTCTTCATTGGGCACACAGGGTCTTCCAAGTAGTATCACACTCTGAGATGAATTGTGCCATTTCATTCTGACAGACACCATAGGAAGCAGGCAGTTAGCTAAGTGATGAGGCTGGAATTTAAATTTATTTCCATGTCTGTAGTTCTTGGTGGTGTTAAACATTATACTGTAATTAACATATTAATCCTTGGGATGGGGAGGGAGGAGAGAGTTGGGAGATGATGTGTGGGTATGTAAGAGTTCTTTGTACTCAGTTTCTCCTGCTGGCTATTGTATTCTAGATCATTTTTAAAATAACATTTACATTTCTTTTATTTTCTTCTGGCCTCTGTGTATGTGTGTGTGTGTATTTGCCTTTCATGTTTGTTGTTTTTGCATGGTGCGCTGGATAGAAACAATACTTTTATTAGCTTGCCAATGTGATGGCTGGATTTTTGGTTAGGACAAGGTCTTTGATTTCCCTGGAGAACCCAAAGTTGCTTTAAGTTGTACCTGTCACTGAAGCTGTCACAATGGAACAGGGCCTCGTGTCCCCTGGGGATTTCTGGGTTAGAGAAATGGCAGAGATTCAATTCATATGAAGTTTTATCACTTTAGCTGCTATGCACATTTATACATTCAGCCTCTGGCTTAGCAGCTGTGGCTATTTTATTTTTATTAGTACACGTTGGCAGTACCTATAATTACATGCCTTGTGTGGAGTTAGTACCTGGACTTAACACATCTTTATTCTTTTATATCCCCTTCCCCTCCCTCTTCTTCCCTCCAACTCTCATTTTCCTTCCCATTTACAAAAGATCTATCTTCCAGCCATGACTATTTTAATGTTAAATGATGAGAAGAAAATGGAAATGCTTCAGAAACTTTGTTTCTAATAATTAAGCAACAGTTTCTCACTTTACCTTCTCTGAATTTTCTGTTTAACCCAATAAAATGTTCTATTTGGGCTTTTATGTCAATTAAATGTTCCACCAATATCTTTTCTAATACATAGCCAGTAATTTAAAACAAATTAAATAATTTTCTAATGTTTACTGGAATTAAATTTTCTCATCTTGTATCAGTCCTTTAGCAACTGTGTGTACTCAAGCTCTGTTTGCTAAGTTGATTTAACTGGAATGATTAATTGTGCCAGAAAAACTACTCATAGATCATTAAGTAGTTCCCGAAGCCTCCCTGTGGGAAATTGTGGTTTAGCTACATTTTCCACTCATTAGTGTCAAAACCAAAAACTAAATCATAATAATTGCCTCTTTCCCTTATAATTAGAACTTTGTCATAAAAATAATTACCCTGGGTAATCTCGAAAGCAGGGTTTTTTGTTTGGTTGGTCTTTTGGTGTAGTGACAAACATCGTGTCAAGTGTACTCAAAGTGTGCAGCACAGGATAATTTAGTTTTCCAACCAGTGATTCGTGCCCTTCTCCCCCTTGCCGCAGGGCATCACAGACACGGCACAGACCATTTATGAAACGGCGGCTCGAGAACACGAGAGCAGAGGGGTCACTGGGGCCGTGGGTGAGGTCCTGCGTCAGATCCCCCCGGCGGTGGTAAAACCTCTGATTGTTGCCACAGAAGCAACATCAAACGTGTTAGGTGGCATGAGAAACCAAATCAGACCGGACGTCCGGCAAGACGAGTCACAGAAATGGCGCCATGGGGAAGACTGATGTCCCAGCAACTCTGGAGAGAACCAAGGTGGACATCAGGCACATCGTGTCCCATGGCAATGTTAGCAGGAACTCATTTAATTTTCTTGTGCTCATCTCAGGAACAAAAGCATTTTTAGTTAAGTAATTTAGTGTCAAAACACACAACCAAAAACTTCTGCCATCTTAGGGCTAGTTTGGTGTTTGCCTGTAGAAGTGTTTGGTGGCTGGTGTCAAAGGCCATTAAAGCATTTGCTGCCAAATTAGTGGAATGCTTACTTTTATTAAAATGACCGTAATTCTCCTTGTTACAGACAAGGTATCATCGGAAACCTCCTTTCATAATACAGAGCGCTCTACAACATTGGAGCACTCTCAAAGCACTAAGCGTGTAGCTCTTGGGAGTTGATTTTTTTCACCTGGTGTAAAAAGAATCACAGCTTCAAAACTTTCACTGAGAGTGAGAGAAGTGACAGGGGAAGCAAAAACAGATAGGATTTTCAAGATAACATCAGCATAAAAACAGGCTTCCCAGGGGAGTGCGTGTCCGTGCCCTGGAGAACAGTGTGCTTTCCATTGACACGGAGGGGCTGGAGAAAGTGAATGTTGCAGAGATGTTCTGTTGTGTTGCACTTTATTCTGTGTGTGTGTGTGTGTGTGTGTGTGTACACGCACACGTGTGTGTGTGTTTAGATTAATACAAGTCATGTGCTGTATCCCTTATGTCATTTACAAAGTTAAACAAAACATGAGGAGGAGTAAACGTGTCTGAAAGTTTTGGCAAAGGAAAGTAACCCAAATGTACTAGCCTCCTTTATTTTAATTGTAAGTGAAAATATGCGTTCTATGATGACCTGGGGCCCATGTACCTGTTTACATGTTCCATTTTAAGCAGGTATAGTACAAGCTGGTTAGGCATGTGTGAAAAGGGAGAGTGGAAATAGTTTTTACTCTTTGAACGTTAAATAAAAATCCTCAGAAATATATTCTAGTCAACTAATTCAAAGTACCTTTTTACTTGGTTAACAATGTACATTTTGATAACTTGTCAGGAATGAATAAAGAATTTTTATTTAAAGGTAAAATTGTTCTATGCTTCCATGAATATTTTGCTTTGCTTAGAGCATATTCATAGATGCAGTACCCCAAAATATTGGAGAAGACTTTCTCCAAATTAACTGTGGTTAATGTCAAGTAAATCTTTACTGTGGAGCTGGTGGGAAGCACTCCTCAGTCTGTGACTGCGCAGGAAGAAACGGTGGGACCTGGAGTGATGCAGCTTCTCATTTTCTAAAGAGTATGGGGCTGATTTTGCAGTATGCATGGGATTTCAGAACTGCATTCAGTTTGGGGGTTGGAAAATGAAGTTAAATCAATTTCATTCTCTCAGTTTTATAAATAGGAAAGCAATGTGAACCAAAAGATCCAAACATTTAGCATTTGTAAAAGAAAAGTGTTAGGTAGCATTTAGATTTACTTTGGCTTTTTTACTGCTGAAAAATGTAAGAAGACGGTAAAATATAAGAAGCACCTGTGTAGAGGCCATGGCACTATCTGTTACTACTTTATTCTTGAGATGAAGTCCATAAAGGGCCAGACGCCAACAAGCAGTAATCCCTTGTGTGACCATGACACTTGGGCCTGCTTTGGAGCCACATTCTGGCCCCCGAACACTTTACTTCAGCATTCTCTGTTTGCCCTTATCATGAAATCTTGGGTCATATGTTGATTCATCAAAGTGAAAAACACTTGATCAAATTTAAAAATTTATAACTTTAATCCATAGTTATACAAAGTTCAATTAGATTTAGTTTAACTCCGCTGAGTTGCAAATGGACTTTTCTTTTGTCAAGTTAAGCTTATAAAGCCTGTGTCTTTCTCATACAAACTCTGTGCCTCTTTGTTCTGCTCTCCTGTACCTGCTGTTGATAAAATTGATGGGGACAGAACACTGTGACCACAGATTCAGTCTCAGAGGTTGTTCATTGTCAGCTTAGCCAAGATGCTCTTTGCTTGCAATGTCTGTAGCAGGCCTGTTTATATGTAAACACTTTACAAGTTAGGTATGTTTAATTTTTTTCTCTTTGAAGAAGTGACTTTCCAGACTTCTGTGTTTTGATGGCACAGAGTGTTTGGCAGGATTGTTGCCAGATCGGGCAAGCAGGTGTCACTTTTAAATGCTCTGGCAATATTTCTGGCCTCTCGGGAGGTGCTTTTTAATCATCACCTTTCCAAACTGTTCTGTGGGTTTGGTGCCTTTGTTCAAATTCAAAACAAACAGCTGTGTGTGGCTGTGAAGCAGCTGCCTGTCCTGAGGGAGGTGCTGCTCCCCTCAGACATCTAGAGACTGAGGCAGTGCTGGATGTTAAGTGAGGAATCCCTTCTTATGCTAAGTGGCTTCAAGATTTCTGTTGTCTCAATATTCATTTAATTATATATATATATATATTTGCAAGACCTGGTGTAAGAGAAATCACTCAACTTTTACCATTGGTTTTCTTACACTTGCACAGCGTGTCATTTCTCAGATTTAGGGATGTGCTGGGAAGTGAGGGCACACCTCTCACCTCCTTCCCTTTTTATCCTCTTGACTCCCTTAAGATATTAGAGAATGTCTGTAGCTTTCTTTCTTCTTTTTCTTTTCTAGGAAACTTTATTTTGCTTTACTGTAAGGCATAGTTGCTGTTCACAGAAAAATAACATAGTGCTTAAGCCTGAGTAATGTTTATGTCACCATCTTCAGGATTGTGTGGAGCACACTGGTTCCTTTAGAAGACATCATGTGCTGATTGCAAGTTAGCCAGTTTTATTCAGAAATTATTTTCTTTCATCACAGTGCCTGCAGATGGCAGATAGAAAAGCATTTCAGCAAACTGCCATGTCAGGCTTCTTTGGGGATGAGACATTGGGGTTGCAACCATTTCTATTTTTGATGTCAGCAGTTTTCTAAAGGTAGGAGAAGTACACAGTACCTTGGCTTCCTGAACTACCATCCACCCCTGAGTTTCAAGCACCTAGTAAGTGATTGCTCCATAGTAAGCAACAGAGTGCTCTCTGCTAGGTCAGGATTGTAAGTCTGTCTGGTGTCTACTGCTCAGTTACATCTTTAATGCCTGGCAGGTTGAAATAGCAGGCCTGCTCTTCTTAAAAAAAAAAAAAAAAGTACTTTGCTGTCCCACATGTCTTTTGTATATAGGAAGTAGTAGCTTCTAGTTTCTGGTTGGATTTGTCTCATGTTTGTACATCTGCTGATTGCACGTGACTATTTGCTTTTTCACTGAGAAATGTAGTAGGGACTCCATGTTCAGCTTGGGTATGGATCTGCCTCACTTATTTCAGATACAGAATTATTTCACCACAGTTACAATAATACATATGTATACGCTGGCCATCTTTACTTCTTTCGTTATTTATGGATGTGAATAAGAATTTTGATGCTGTACGAGTATTTTTGTGGAAATGTAACTTGTTAGTGTAACTATTTAAAATATGAAATTAAGATATTTGTGAAGAAGATTCAATTATTATTAGAGGTTTCCTTTAAATATAACTGTCCCTGAGAGCTGCTCCTGAAGCCTGTATGAAATGCCTTGGGATGGGCTAGGTCCGTGTGAGGCCCTAGAGAGCTGAGAGCTGAGAGCTGCTCCTGAAGCCTGTATGAAATGCCTTGGGATGGGCTAGGTCCGTGTGAGGCCCTGGCTCTAGAATTGATATTCTTGTGATCCCGGTCCCTCTGACAGAAAATCTGGTGCTCATCTGCTACTGGTGTTTGAGACATTAGAGTAAATAATGTAAAGTTCATCTCTCCTCTTCCTGGGTATTAACCACTCTTAGTTATCCCTGCAGTGTAGAGTTGTGGCAAATACATCTTGCAGCTTTGGTCTTATGGACTAAATCTCTTCCATTTGGAAGGATATTTTTACTTATAACAAGAATACTTAAAAGATGTTTCTAAAGACAAATAAGAGATTTTGATATGACAGGTGTCATGTATCATGTACCATGAGCAATGTGTGTCAAGTCTTTTTTTTTTTTCAATACTGGGATTTGAACCCAGGACCTCATACTTGCTTTCCTATTGAGCTATACCCCTTTTGATTTTATTTTTGAAATGGGGTTTCCTTAAATTGTCCAGGCTAACTTAAATTCATGATCCTTTTGCCTCAGCCTCCTGAGTAGTTGGGATTAAGGTGTGTATCCCTGCACTAGTCTGTAATTTATTCTTTATGTAATTTCATAGTCCCACGAAGTCAGGTACTGTACATTCTGTTTTCCAGCTGAGAAGACAAACTCAGAGAGGCCCAGAAACTCACACTGCATGTTGGACTCCCACCCTCACGCGCTCTCTCTCAGGTTCATTTAAGACCAACCTGAGCAGTTGTTTAACTACCTGGAACCTCCTGACTAGGAGCAGAAATTTTCTAGAAGCCTGAGGTCCCCTAGAGCCTTTCATTAGAGCTAAGAACTGGCTGGAAGCCCTTGCCTGCCTCCTGCCATGCCCCTCCTGGCCATGCTTTGCTGCCCTGGTCCTCAGTTCCACTGCTGCCAGAGGCAGAGCTTAGAGGCCCCTGGAGAAATTTTTTTAATCCATAGCTCAGTTACATGCAACAGAATTAAATCAGAAGCTGACAGCAGGACTAAAGCAAGGCCTCCAGCTCGACACTTGGTGCTCGGAGCTGAGAATTCCTATAAATTGCCTGATGTTTAGCTGGCTCCTGGCTTCCATTAGAGGCCAGGAGTAAACTCCTTCACTTCCAACCCTGAAAACCACGGTGTCTCCATACAGCGCCCAATAGACCCCTGGGGCCAAATCCTCCCACAGACACTACAGGGACCAGCACCAGAGAGGCCGCCTCAGATGTCCTGCCTGGCTTCTCATACCTTGGCTAATGGTTTCCATTTCTAGGTAGCTGCAGCCACCTCCCACCTGCTTCTGTTCTCCTTTAGAATACGCTTTCTCCCTCTCTCTACTTAGTGGCTCCTTTTCTTTTCTTTTTGAAACAGGGTCTCACTATGTGGCCCAAGCTGGCCTTGAGTTTATGGCAGTCCTCCTGCCTCAGTCTTCCAAGTGCGAGGATTACAAGGGCATGCCACCGTACCCAATAGTGGCACTTTTCTCATTTTGTAAGCCCACATTTGTCCCCCTTACTGCGGGCAGGGCTTTTGTAAGCTGGTCCATACCCAGTGCATTACCCAGCATGGGAGTCTCAATGAATGGAAGCCTGACCTTTCAATGGAAAAAGGACTGACCTAGGGGTGTTGCCCAAGGTCAGGGGGAAGGAGGGGCAATTGTCCTGTAGCACAGTTGTGCTACCTGCACTTGTACTTATAATCATGGTTGGATGCATCTGTCTCCTGGGAGACAGGAAGCAGGCAGCACAGGCCAGCCAGCAAGAGAGGCACCATGACACGGACGACGGCATTGTCCTGTAGGACAGAGAAAGGAGGGCTGAGTCCGGATTCCGGGCCATGATCATTCCCTCCGACCACAGACCGCTGTCTACGCCCTCACCACCAGGAGAATCAGATACAGAAAATCATACAAGGCACTTCCATCCTCCTTCCTCTCCCAGCCACAACATCCCTGACTTGTCACTGGAGCAGGAGTTGTCTGTACCCTGTGACACCTGCACCTGGGGTGCTGCTGGTGAAGCCCCTGAGATAGGCCTGACTGGATCGTGACTGTGTAATATTCATCAGTGGATTTCTCCACTGGTGAGTTTATAGCTAAATGTGATATTGGAAGACAAAGCCTTGTTGGAGGAGTTGGGTCACTGGGTGTGGCCTGGAAGGGTCAATCTCCCTCCCTCCTCTCTGGATCTTGTTCTTGGATTCCTGCCACTATGCCATGGACTGTTTCTCCTCTGCTGTGTGCCTCTGCCACGCCTCCCTGCCTTGGAGGCAGTGAACTGTGGACTGAAACCTCTACAAACTCAGCAAATATAAGTTTTCTCCTTTAATTTGTGTGTGTTGGGTATTATATCTCAGGGACCAGAAAGTAACTAAGATGGCAGATATTTAAGGGTCTTCAAAACTGATGTTCGGCATACAGTGATGGGGGATTAAATGAGATAAATGTAGCCGTCAAAACTGACACCCAGACATGATCTGAAAGGGTAGATCTTGGGGGAAGAGCAAGCATGGTGGGTTTTCCAAACTGCTAGCATCAGTACAAAGAAAGGAAACAGATGAGAACCAGGGCCTTGGACCCAGATAGAGGAGGAAAGGAAGAGAGCAAGAAGCCAGGTTATCTGAGGAGCTATTAAACCCAGATTCTCTTCATGACCAAGAGTTCCCATCAGTAGATCAGGGGCATGGAAGGAAAGCAGGGCTTAGGGAGCAGAGGGGAGGACCCTGGACTGTCCTCTGGAATTCTGGGAAACAAGCTCCGATGAGCAGGAAGTTCAAGGGCTCCGTGTTCCTCTTAAGGCCTTGGGGGAAGGAACGTGGACTCCTGGCTCAGGTTGGAGTCACAGGACCTGGGTGAGAGGACAGAGGCAGAGGACACACTGGAGCAGAGGCCAGCGCCACCCAGGCTGCTCCTCAGCTCTCTTGAGGGAGAGGCCTGGGAGGCCCCACAAGGAGGAAGAGGCAGTATGCCAGCACCCTCCCAGCGCTCAGCCCGTGGGCCCACTGTGTGCTGGGAGCTGCAGGCTGAGTGCTTTACCCTTTCACACGGCTAAGGTACAGCTGCCTGTGTATAGGTCCTGGCCCTGCCCTAGGAGTTGCATCGTGCCTCAGTTTCCCTGTATGGAGTGGGGGCACTGAACCCTGCAGGGAGGCTCACAGCACCCACCCTGGCAGCTGAGGCCGCTGGAGCAGGACTCACTGAGCGGGGTGCACAGGCTGTGGGAGGCTGTGGCCGGATGTGCAGCACCAACTGTCCCTGCGCACTCTGGGGCCTTGGGGACTTTAGACTGTGAGGGGCGTGGGGACACTCAGTCCCTTGTGACCAGGGACACTCTGTGCTGGGAGTGAGCCTCAGCTGCCTGCTGACCCTGGCTGGTGTCTGTGTGCAATGTGCTGATGCCGCCTGAGGCCCTCACTGTCCTCCCTGACTGGGCTTTGTCTACACAGCCAGCTGGGGCCAGGCCACCTGCAGGGTGCTGGGAGGGAACCCCAGGGCTGCCCCAAAGCCTCTGCAGGGAGCAGAGAGGAGATCATGAGTTCAGGCCTTTCGGGGTGGGGGGGGCCTAGCAGTGTGCTGCTCTGTGGTGACAGCTAATTGTCACCTGCCTACAGCCCTGAGCTCTCCCCATGGGTCTGCCCCAGGGCATCTCTATTGAGGTCTGGAATGTGTGCTGTCTGAGTTCCCTGGTTTGTGGTTTGAGTTGGTCCTGGTGGGAGACAAGAGCCATGTGCTGTGTGTCACCAAAGGGGTTGTTGGTGTCACTGAGAAAGATCAAGTCTCTACTCCAGTGAGGGTCTTTGCTCTCAGCTCTC